CTCACTCACTCACACTCTCTCACACTCACTCACTCACTCACTCACTCACACTCACACACGCGCTGTTCTCTACAGGTCAGTGGATTGAGTCTCTTCTCGTTCACAGAACAACATTGAAGAAAGTTCCCAGAGGTTTCCTTCCGCTGCCGACGGACTGTTGAACAGTTAAGATCCATTTCACTTTCACATTCATGTTCACACTCTTCAGTGACCGGTCATGTGATCAAACAGGCGGGAAATATTTGTGTGTGTGCAATACAATATAACCTAAAATATGTATGTATTGGGGTTATTATAGCTAACTAAAACTAAAACCACAAAAAGGTTTTTGTCACTTTAAATAAAATAAGTTAACTGAAATGAAATAAAAATTTAAAAGTTTAAAATTTATTTAAAATAGTTGCCGTATTTTAGTTTATCTTCTACTAAATAAAATAAAAATAATAAATAAAAATTAATAAAACTATATAGACATGTTTAAAAAAACGGGCAAAGACGAAACAAAACAAAAAAAACGAGAGGAGAGGAGAGCAAGGCCTTTAGTGATAACTCGCAACAAATGCAAAGAATGGATTGAAATATTTATAGTAATGATGCATTTGAAAAATAAATCATCTAAATTCTTTGTGTTGTTATTAATACTCAGATTTTGATAGGACTGTGGATTTGAACACCCTCTCTGTCGCCATCTGTGGTCGAAACACTGAACTACACGAGTCACTTACACAGTAGTTATGTAAGGCCCGGGTTGGCTAACATCATTGCCTGTGCATTACCATTTTAAAAATCGTTGTTACTTGAAATACGTTACTTACAGTTTGTTTGTGGGTTTTACAAATATTTAACGAAAGCAAAGTGTTACAAAGAGCCTGAGACTGAACCTCGTAACTGCACCCGCCTGGATCTCTGCTTGTTTGTAATGCAAGGGTAAATAAAGAACGGATGATATTGTGTGTTTGAAGAGCGCAGAAGAGTTAGAGTTGTAGCCTTGTAGCCACTTTTGTACGTTTGCGTAGAGGTTCATCTTTTACATCAAGAGACTTTGGCCAAATGTATTAAACCGGAAGTAAATCTGAGCTCCCATGCAGCTACAATAAACGTTATGAGCTGAAAGTTGATGAAAACGTAATGCGATGCACTCACTGCCTCAGAACTCCATTTGAGCTTGATTTTCATAAGATGCTTATATGAAGCCAGAATACTAACTCTGACGATGCAGTGTTTAATTATTAAAAAAAAGAAATAAACCAATAAAAATTCCCCCCATTTCTATCTTTTTTTTTGCTGTATTTCAGTGCTTAGTGGTGGAAACACTGCCCTACAGGACAACAATAAGTGCCTTTTACAGCTATACATATTAAAAGCAGCTAGTCCGATGACTAGTTTAAATTCTGTGCAACTGTATTTCTGTTTATGGACGTGTTGCATAATTTCCCAGAAAATCTAACTTAACAGCTTAAATTATAAATGTGACCCTGGAGCACAAAACCAGTCTTAAGTGTCAATTTTTCAAAATTGAGATTTATGCATCATCTGAAAGCTGAATAAATAGCTTTCCATTGATGTATGGTTTGTTAGGATCGGACAATATCTGAAAATCTGGAATCTGAGGGTGCAAAAAAATCTAAATATTGAGAAAATCATCTTTAAAGTTGTTCAAATGAAGTTCTTAGCAATGCATATTACTAATCAAACATTAAGTTTTGATATATTTACGGTAGGACATTTACTAAATATCTTCATGGAACATGATCTTTACTTAATATCCTAATGATTTTTGGCATAAAAGAGAAATGTATAATTGTGACCCATACAATGTATTGTTGGCT